CGCACTAGGAATAAAGAGTGTTTATGTCCCCTTCATCTAATGTGTAACTCCCCTCACCACGGGCGCGTCCGCAAAGCAGGATTGACAGACTTTTAGATGGTTAAATTATGATTATGATAATATTATAGTATATATTAATCAAAGTTAGAATAGTAATTTTCCTATTCAAAAGTATCTCTGGCAATTTTTGAACATTATTATACAGTGGAATTAAAGTCTAGGTAGCTAGCTACCTCAATCTGTAGAATATATTGAAGTCTCTGGATTTCGGATTTAATTCTTTCACAGAAGAAAAAGAAATGTTCTTTTGCATGCATTTATTTCTCTTTCCATTTATAGGATGACTTTTTGACACTATGCATTCCAATATCTGGGTTGTACTTGCCTCATCACTATGTATTTGATTACATGTATAGTTTCATTATACTTCTATTTTCTTGTTTCTGATTTGATTAGTGTATTTTCTTGAGTCTGATTAATTTAATTTTTTATAAAAAAAATTCTACTTTCTCTGTTTTAAATTGCATATAATAGTTTGATTGTACACCAAATATGGAAAAGATAATTGAAATTTGTAATTTTAAATTAAAAATATAAAAACGTATCAAAATGTAATATTATGATCTCATAATGTCATATATTAAAATATTGAATATAAAAAGTGACATACTCCCTCTGTCCCTAATTACTTGTCCATTTTTGAATTGACACACATAATAAAAAAACAATTAATGACATAGTGAGTTTACCATTTTACCCCTATTAATTATGAATTTGATGGATTAAAAATTTAAGATTTTCAAGAAATTGTACATTTTTCAAAGTAATTAATTGAGGGTATATAGGTAAAATTATTTTGTCATTTCTTGATTTGTCAAAATGGATAAGTAATTAGAGACAATTATACAAGGAAAAGTGGACAAGTAATTAGGGACAGAGGAAGTATATTTTATATATTTTATTTATTTATTACTTTTAGCCTACAAAAAGAGAAATAATATTTACTTATTTTTTAAATTTTAAAACTATACATCAATTAATATAAGTATATTATTAAAATATTCATATTAATTATTATATTTTAACCAGGCGTACAAATTAATATAAGTAAAAATGAACGAAGTGTTCAAACTTGTAGACAACAGTTGTATACTTCACCATAGAAATCTCAAGTGCGATCCTACAAATCCAGTAATTCCTTTTTTACAGTGTTCCTATTTTACTAGCTTACGTATGAGAAGTAAAAGGTATTTAGTTTTCTACTTGCTCCTATCTCCAACTTTGCCACAAATTTTGTAATTCATTGCCACAGTTTTCTTATATTGTATCCAGAATTTTGAAAGGATAGGTGCATTATTACGAAAAAATGCATTTAACATATAAGTTTGATCGGTTTGAACTTTAGGTTCTTAATATAAATCGTTAAATTTTAAAAATTATAGGTCCAAAATATATAATGCTAGTTATAAATTTTTATATGCACATTTAATTTAATTATATATAAAAAATTCGGTGCTAAATTTTTCAGGAATTTTCAATGTAACACAGTTGAAAATTTTGAAAGATTAAAAAAAAAAGAAAAATTAATTGAAACGCCAAAAGTATTACCGATAACTACTTGGAGAGGTGTTACTAAAAAAATAGTTATAAAATTTAAATTTCTATCTTCACTTAGAGAAGTGCACCCAATCAACATTATATTATTATATGATACTTTGAACGTAGATTCACACATCCATATTTAATTATTGGGTAATGCTAAATCGCCAGAAATTTAAAAAAATCTATGATATCCTTTTTATTTTAAAATAAACTAATTCTTTTTTGGCCAAAAGGATTTTCCTATATGTGTGAATCTACTTCAAAGGTAAAAAAGAGGGGAGCATGAACTCATGAAACCCCTCTAAATACGCCGCTGATTTTAGTGCTCATAATTTCTTCAAGAAGGTGGTAAAATAGTACTCCCTCCATTTCATATTAATTGAATTTTTGAGGCATTTTTCAAATTAATTTAATTGTTCAATTTTCAAGATTACTTTTAGAATGTTCTTCCAATTTTATCCTTCATTTGGATTTTCAATGTGATGACTTCAATAAATTTGACAATAATTAATAAGGATAAAAATAAAAAATTATATTCAATTTATGTCTTAATCTACTTTTTTTTTTAAATGTGAAACACTTCAATCAATTAATATGGAATGGAAGGAGTACTATTGCATAAACTGTGTAATATTCGAAAACAACAATTTTGTACGTACAACTATTGCATGGCAAATTTGGGTAATGAGCATGGTCCCAGCTTTGCCCACACGTGCGATCATTTAATTTCTTGGAGTTGTCAAATGATACCTACCAACGTTTTGCTTCAATAAGTTAGAGTTTAGGCAATCGCTTTTTGCAACATTAAAAAATTTAAAACATTAGAGTATAGAATTGTGTATATATCTTTACTCCCTCCTAAATCAACAATCATTATAATTCAAAAAAAAATGTGCATAAATAATTTGTAATTCCCTCCTCTTATGAGACACTTTAATCACTAGACTAAATATTTAACTTATGTCTAAATGTGTCAATACTTAATATATATATATATATCAAATCAAAATTTGACATCTATATACAATGTAATTTTCTGACAAAAGAGTGTCGCTTGACACCTCTTGGCTAAGGGTGGTATGTCCATGCTTGTCATTTCACAAAATAAATACATAAATAACATTATTCTTCCTATTATCCTTGAAAGTATAAAATGACCCAAATAGGAAAACAAAATTATTACTTCATGTTCATTGGTCAATTTAATTAATCAAAATAAGCTAATTTATGATCATTCATTGAACATTTGACTTCAAGAGAACACCAAACAAGGATACAATGATAAACTTATATAATTTTCTTAAGAAATGTAAAATCTAAAATGGTAACATATAAATAGAAATAGAGGAAGTATTTAGAAAATTCAAAATTAAAGTTGCCAACTGTTTTTAATTATATCGATAATTCTTTTTAATACTGAAAAATATCTAATAAATAAGAATATCTTAGTCTACTATATTTTACACGAAGTTATTTTTTTAATGGATATAAAATTGTCAAATGTCTCTAAAAGAAAAAAATTTCAAAGTTGTAAGCAACATAAGAAATGATCAATGTCCATGTAGTCAAAATATTAGGTTCTAATGAGAAAAATGTCTCCAAAAATATAAAATCTGAAGTTCAAAGGAATTGATGAAAGAGAAGAATAAAAATAAAAATTAAAAAAAAAGAAAGATGAAAGAGAAGAACTAATGAGAATTATTTATTTTTCAGAAAGGAAACTTTTTGTGTGTCTTATTTCTCCCTTTAATATTTACACCCAACAATTTCCTTCAACGAACGAACACGTTTGGCTTCTTATAGCAATTATAACTAATGAATCCTTTTGACAATTCAAACATATTCTATGACAATTATTTCATTCACCTGTATATTCTTAATGAGATTCTCTACAATATTACTGTGTTGAACCAAAAAAAAGGGCTACCCCACTGTCCTATAACGTTAAATCAAATTTACTTTTCATTTATGCGGCTAACGAGTACTCAAAAATGAATATTTAGAGTGTGACATACCCCTTAAAAAATCAGTTAGTGACATTAATTAAATGGTAATTAATCACTCTTTTGCCTTTTTGTCAAACCCTTATTAAAAAAAAATAGAAATAGTTAAATCACTTTTTTTCCAATAATAATTTATTATTGACTTTGCACACTTTTTAAAAAATTATAAATGCAAGGGTTGTTTTAACATATCACCCTCTAAGTATAATAAATATAATATTTTGAAAAATGTAATACAGAAACGACTATAACTAATGATAAGAATAAATTAGAAATTACGTATAAAATTATTTATTAATTTAATAAAGTAAACAAATATTATTTAACATGTCAAAATAGTATCGTGAACAACTACGTTAGACGAGGAAGGTAATACAGCTTTCATTTTAGCTCTCAGTCCTAGTACACGTAAGTTACCAAAAAATTTCCACCTGTCGGTGGTTAAAACTTAAAAATAGGAAAAACATGCATATATATCTTAAATGTGCAAGAAATTAACTTGTCCCATCGTTACCAAAGACTTAAAAGGGCTTTCGGTTGGACAATCGTTCTCATATTACTCTATCCGTTTATTTTTATTTATCACTATTTAATTTAGTACACACACTGACACACACACACATATATATATATATATATATATATTTCTAACGTTTGATATAGGTATTTTATTAAACTATTTCAATTCATAAAATATGGTATTTTTGGTATTGAACTTTGAAAATGATTTGAAGGATAAGTATTTAATGCAAAAGAGCCTCAAACTTTTGGACTAAAAAAAAAAATTAAATGCAAAGGTAAACACATGGAATTTTTTTTTTATCTTTTCTTGATATGTCAAAAATGACAAGTTCAAATGAAAATTTATTTTATTCGAATAAATTACAAGTAAAAGTGAATAGAGGTAATAATTGTTAACTTTTATTTTTATATGTTTCTTAAAAAATTATAAATATGAACAATATTTTTATCAATGCCAAATGGATAAAGTAGTTACAAGGCTTATTTTAAATGGAAAAGGACTTAAGGCTACTAGTGGGTGACAACATTAACTTAATTATTGATGAAATGGATATAGAGGGAGACCCATTTTCATTAGTTTGATTGGTGAGATAAAGATTAAATAAAATAATTTTATGAAATATTCCAATTCATAAAATATCTTTCTTTATCTTATCACCAACCAAATGATCCGTAAACAGTAGGTATAGTATACACAGTAAATTAAACTAAAATGTATTAGTGAGCGACCACTAGTGGAATCTAATCCCGGTTGTACAATCCTATCTACTAACATTATCTGTTAGTCCAATTATATCTAATTAAACATTAAGTATTTCCATCCACAATTCTCAGGCAAATATCCCAAACGCAAATATCTTTATTTTATTCTTAGACTTATACGCGGAGTATTTATCCGCTTAACGGCGACGTCAGAATCCCGTTACGGTAGGAAAAAAGATCCGTCACAATGGTGGACCACAAGACGAAGCGCCCAATAATACGAACCTAATCGAATCATTCAACGGAATGCCTATCATCATCATTATCACCATCACCGTCCCTAACACTTCTTCTCTCTCCCTACTGCTGCGCTGCGGCAAAAGAAGATATCTTCAGTCAGATCGTACGATTCTGGTGTGCATAATTCTGCAATTCTACCAATTTATATAGTAACAAACAATTTGTGTAATTCTCTAACTTGTTGAAGTTTATTGCTTAGAATTTGAAGAGAGATGTATCAAAACATTGATGAGAAGAAGGTATAAGTGCAAGTCGAAGGGAATTATTGGAGAAGTTGTGATTATGGAGGTTGCGGAGGTAGCAGTGAAGATGACAAGAGAACGGGAGGTTTTAGAGGTGGTCGACACAAGGAAGAGGAAGAAGCGTGATGGTGATTTGGAGATGTCACCAACTGTAGCTCGTGTTAGAAGGAATTCCGTAGTCTCAGTTGTACCGGCGAGTTTTGAATCTCCAGCGAGCGAGCTTAGCTCCCAGGGAAATACTGTTTCGTGTAAACCGGCTAACTTTCATGACGGTTTAGCATCTGGTTTTGGAGATGATGAATCAAGCAATGTCACAAAAGGAAGCTCGAAATTTGTAGATCTGGATGTATGTGAAATTAAACTCTTTGAATTTTACTTGTTTAGCTGTTCTATTTTTCTGCTTCCTTTAATATTTTCAGGTCTGATAGTATCAAGTTAATGCATTAGAATTGGAGTGAATTGTCATGCCGTTCTATAACTGCTCATTTTTGACTGATATTTGAATTTCGAATTTTCCAGGAGGACAGTGTGGAAATTGCAACCAGTTATTCAGAGTTGAGAGAAAGGTAAATATGCATTCTACATAATTTTCTTGGCTTTTCAATTCTCTCTCAGATCCGCCTCTTCAGTATTTTCTTTTTCTTCATCGTTTATTGAAAACAAAGCGTCATTCCGCAGTAGAGAGACAATACTATCCAGCAAATTCAAAGTTGAATTTCACAAAGTGGAGTCAACACCGAAACCACAACATGCTAAATCTTGCCGCCGCCGATTGACAGAGGCAATTATGCCCTCCGAGGCTGAGCTTGATGAGTTCTTTGCTGCAGCCGAGAAAGATCTCCACAAACATTTTGCAGAAAAGTACAATTCTCTCTCTCTCTCTCCCTCATTTTTTACGCATTTGTATCTCCTTTTTTCAAAATTCTTCTCGGAAAAGAGTATCATTATTCATGAAAGTGCGTGCTGTAACAGATACAACTTTGACTTTGCAAAAGAGGAGCCATTGGAAGGTCGCTACGAATGGGTTCGACAATGAAACCACAATATTTAAAGGCCAAGATCATAGCAATAGCAGCAGTTGCTTCTTAATCTAATTTGTTAGTAGTGATTCTAGTATTTCCAAGTATATTTAATTTAACTGTTCACTCTTTAAACTAGTACTACTTCTCTTTTTTTGTTTTCTTACTTTATTGCTTTATGATTTTGGTTTCCATGGGGCAGGAGTTCAATTTGAATATGTACAGCCCGGGAGCACGAAATGATCTCTCTTTATGTTAATATATAAGTTATTAACCGAGAAGCTGCCTCTGCAAATCATTTCCTTTGGAGAAAATATTCTCTGAAGAATAAGAGCTCATCTTTTATAAATTTTCGAGTTTGATATCCTCTCGATCGATCTTAACCTCCTTCGTAATGTCTTTGTTTTAATAGCTAATAGTTTGAAACTGATCGAGGAAGAAATTAAAATTTTAAAATAGGCCGTTATGATTTGGTGATACTGTATGTGAAAATGTACATTTTGTTCTGGGACTAAAAGAACTGACGTCCGAAGGGGAAGATGGAATATTCGGTGGAGGCATTGAAGCAGTGAGCAGAGAGGGTAGGTTAGAGTAGAGAAAAACGCAGCAATAGGCCTTGCCGGACACGTGCTGGCTGCTGAGTAAACGAAAGCTATTCTTTTTACAGGCTTTTACTAGTGTGGACCTCTCCATGCAGTCACAAAGTACTTGGGGTGAAACAAATAATTACTCCACTCTTTTCTTTTTTTCTCTTTTGGTAATTTGGGTTTCATTGCTACTGCTTATGCAAGAAAACTGACTTGCATTATTTGTGCTTCTTCTAGTTCTAGGAAAATGACACATGAACTAGTGTAGTGTTCAAAAATTTTAAAATTAGCATGGAGCAAAAGTTGTTTGAGAAAATGTTGTAATCGAAAGAAATGGTAAAAGATCATTTGTTACTCAAGCATTCTTCTGAGATAGGCTTCCTTATTTAGGGTAGTGTACCTGCTGCTGCTTTATATCATTGATTAGTGGACTACTGTAATTTTAGTGTATACTATTGCTGAAAATGTATATTGGGTATCCAGTTTTACATCGTCATATTACATTAATATACCGTTTGCCTTGGTTTCATATGATATTTATGCCCTTCAACTTTGTGTACTCACAACTATACCCTTAAAATTAGTATAAAATTGAACATGTAGACACATGCGTTCTACGTGATAATACATGTAGGACGCCACGTAGGACACAAAATCGTTATGTACGTAAGACGAATGTGTCTATTTGTTCAATTTTATATAAGTTTAAGTGACTACTTCTGCACACCCAAAGATGGAGGGCATAGATGTCAACTGAAGTCAAGTTAAATGACACATTTATGTATGAGTCAAAACAAACAATTTAACTTTAGCCATATATGATTATCTGAGAATACGTATTATTTAATCATAGTTAAAATAATAAATGAATATGTAGAATAGTCCGTTGCACAAAGCATTCCATGTTTATGCATGATTTTGGGAAGGGTTGCACCGCAAGGGGGGTGATCTAAACAACTTACTATAATGCAAGTATTAATAACGGCCTCCACGGTCCAAACCTATGACCTATAAGTCATACATGCAAATAAGTTTCTACAGTTCCTAGCAGTATGTGGCTTAATGCTAAATGTGTGTCAATTAATTGAAGTTACCCCTTTTGAGTGATCTTTTGGTGCAAGTCTTGACTTCTTACAGTAGTAAATTACGGCCAATGTACTTATTTTTTTTTGCAAGGTTTCTCCTGATTACTTTCTTGAATTTAAGTTATATATGTTGTTAATTAGTGTAAGAATACACCATCAACAAAAAATTCTTACACTAATAGTGTATTACTTTCCAGAATTTGAGCACTTTTTGTTATGCGGCGGCAGAGAAAATTAAAGTCTGCACATAATCATGCATCTTTATTTGGTATTTTCACTTTTGCCAAAATTGTTATATGATGGAAATAAAGCCATCTTATAACTTTGGTGCAAGTTTTTTGTCGCGTATAAATGATATAAACGAAAAGGTACCCAGCAATTGCTAGTTACTCCCTAATCCCGGTTCATTTTATTTGGTTCAGATTGACTTGAAAGTAGAAATATTTTTAGAGGCTAATTTTAGTAAATTAATCTTGTTAATTATACTTTGAAAATCTAAACTTGACTAATAGTGTACTTCATATAGTTATTTGATAACCAGTGTAGTATAAGAAGAAAAAAGATAAATTTCTTTTGCTAAAATGGACAAATAAAAAGAAAATCTTCAAATAACTAGGTAAAGCTGGAGATCTCATTTCTTAGAAGAGTTTGGATTGACTTAAAAGTTGGTCAAACTTATTTTTAAAGAGTTAATATCTTAAAAGATCACTGAAGTATAAGAAATTATCTAGCAAAGTCATTAAACTTTGTTTTGTATCAATAAAATCACTCAACTAAAAACTTTATCTTCAAAAATCACTCAACTACATTTATTATTAAAATAAATTAAACATGACAAAAAAAATATTTTTCATGCCATGTAATCATAAATCCCACAAATAAATAAAATTTATAGAATTTATTTATTATTATACCAACCCACCCTGAAACCCATATACCCGATTCATGCTCTTATTTTCATTATTTCCTCTAGCAAATTGTATAGCTGAAAAATTGAAGTTGTTGGCAAGTTACAATTGTTAGTTCTGATTAGAGAAATTAAATCATCACACACAAAAAAAAGAAGAGAAATCAACTTCTTTATCTTTTTATGGTCAAATTACTCCCTTCATTGTAGAAATTAGCTTCTTAAAAAATATTCTCTAACTTCATTAAATTCATGTCCAATCTTTTACATATCAATAATATGAAAAATTAATATTAGTACAATTGAAGATACTTATCTGTGTAATGTCACGAGACCTGCAACAAGTAATTATATAGTAGCAAATAAAAATATAAAATTAACTAATACTCCCTCTATTTCAGCAAATCAATATTATTATTTTTAAAAATACTACGTGCCATTATCATCAAATAATTACATAAATTATTGGTTGTCAAATTAAAATTTCCATACATAATTCGTAAAATAAATTTGTGTCGAGGACCTTGAAACCTGATGGACTAAACCACTGAAAGACCTCAACATCCAAGAATTTAAAAATGTCACTGATAAGACCAAACAGATAAGAAAAAAAAATTGAAGCCAATTTATGGGTGGGTCTGGTATAATAATAAATAGATTCTATAAGGTTATTTATTTTTGGGGTTTATAATTACATGACATAAAAATAATACTTATATTTTATCATGTCAAATCTATTTTAATGATAAATGAAGTTGAGTGATTTTTGAAGATAAAAACTTTAAGTTGAGTGATTTTTGAAGATAAAAACTTTAAGTTGAGTGATTTTTGAAGATAAAAAACTTTAAGTTGAGTGATTTTTGAAGATAAAAACTTTAAGTTGAGTGATTTTATTGATACAAAATAAAGTTCAATGACTTTACTAGATAATTTCATATAGTTCAATGACCTTTTAAGATATTAACTCTATTTTTAAGTCAGTTTTTAACTTCTGAAGCGTTTGACAAATATTAAAATAAGTCACAAAATGATTTAAAATAAGTTAGAAAATATTTGGTAAGATTAACTTAAAATAAGTTAAAAACCAAAAATAGGTCTCCCGTAGTTTTATTTTTTGACTTTAAAATCATTTAAGTTTGATTTTTTATTTTTTGCTTAAAAACTTTTTTTTTAAGTCAATCCAAACGGAGTCTTAGTTGTCTGTACTTTGGCACCTTGATTTCTCCTAGATGTCTTTTCTCCTCTCTTTTTTTCCTATTAGCTTTTCCTTAGCTGGTTAAGCAATCAATTTAACACATGTCCTACTGCTATAGCTACTTAGGTTTGAGATTCAAATCATTGTAGCTAAATGATTAGGCAATGCTAGTTACTGTCATAATTTGAATAGATGTAAAGAAATAAGTCATCAATACCCGTTCCGCATGCAGGACCAAATTTTGGTCTACAAGACATCACTAGATAGATAGATAGAAACAGTTAAGTTCGATAGCATATTGTATAAGACATCCCCTCTACAGACTACAGCATATTGAAGTTCGATAGAAAATGGAATCCATTCATCTTGAGCAAAATGTAGAATGATCCAATATCTTATCGACTGAAAAAAATAAGTAAATTACATCATCTCTAATGCTCTTTTGGGGAGTACCCTTTAAAAAGAAAAGAAAAACAAACAAAGTCATGTCTGTACAAGTTTCTAATAAGGAAAATAACTGAAATCGCGCGGAGACAAAAATACAACTGTACTGATCTATAAGAAACGTTGATTTTACTTGATAGTGAGTTCTGATGAAGACTGAACAGTCTACACATTAGACCTTTTTTGATGTTGTTAGGAAGATATTTGAGCTTGGAAAATTGTTAGCCTACTTTCTGAAGTCTTTCAACAATGAACTATCTCTTAAATGATTACGATGGGAGTTAAAGATCACTAATCTATATTTAAAATGTTTAAACAATTTCGAGTGAACCATTTGATCTTGTGGACACTGATCGGGTGGAACTGTTCTTTACAGAACGAGGAACAGATCGCGTGGAACCTTCTCTGGAAATAGTGGAATACTGCATGATCAATGTTTTCACTATCTGTCTGAATTTCCTTCTATAAGTTGGAAACTTAGAAACACTTCTAATCATTCCCACCATCCTGCCAAATCAACAGAATAAATGACGACACACAAATCTTGCTTCAACACTACAAACTTATGATGAAAATATAAACGAAGAGGCTTACCTTCGGCTTATGCCTTCAATTTGAGCTGCTCTGAGAGATTCCTGAGGCGCCACACTTCCATTTTCCCAGGCCTTAAAGCGTTCAGAGTTGCTCTCGAAAAGGACCACTTTCTCTAGGAACCTCATTTCACCGTCTTCTAGGCTCAGGACTCTAATTTGTTCCTTGAGGACCATGACTGGTTGGAAAAACCAGTCCAATAATCTGTCCTGAGGTCTGTTCAGCTGAGTGATTTCAAGATCCTCTAGAAGGAACAGTCCATCTGATCCGGCTTTTATGGAATAAAAGATTATCTGTAGAAATGTATAACATGCTAAACCAACATTGATGACTGCAACATCAACTCCATGTTTTCCCTTCAACCAATCATCCAGGTCGTTGGGGGTTATCACTTTCGCGTCCAATAATTCCTTGCCCCTTATTTCACATGATTTCATCATGTTCTGCCACACCTGTTAATTGTTGTGACATGTCAATTACCCAATTTCATGGTTTACAAGACCAGAAAAATATGATTCTGTGTTGAATTGTGTGACCATCTTATCTAAAAATATGATTTACTTAATTACGTCTTCAAAGTACATATAAAGATGTTACTCTAGTAGATCATTTCACATGTCTGTCAGCATTTTGCAAATTAGCCAGAAAAGAACAGAGAAAGAAAAGCATACCTGCACCATTTTCACTTCTTGTATTGCCTCTCTCACTGATCTAGACGACGTTAAGCTTGGCACGAGCATTGCAGGTACTGAACCGTTTCGTTTCACAGAGTAATCTGACAAATTGGATCCCTTCTTGTTTCGATAATGAGGCCTGGCTGTGACTAAGATGATCAGTAACATTGACAATTATGAAAACCGTGTACAGAAAAAAGGGAGAGCTCAAGTAATTACTTTGGAAGAATGGACCCTTCTCTAAGGTAAAGCCAATCATTTGTGTACTCATCAAACTCTGCCACCATTGCGACCACGAAAGCAACACCTCTTTGAAAGGACCTCTCCTGAATTCACAGTTTTAACTAATAATAAATCCGACGGTCACACTAAAACAGCAGACAGAACTGAGAAACTAATGAGGCAACGAAATAAATTACCTGATAGACGATAACAGCTCCATATAATCCAATGAAAAAACTGG